CACAAAACAATTCAACCAATTGCGAGTACAAATCAATGTTTGTACATTATTTGAAAAGAGGCGAAAATGATACTTTGTGAGAACATGAGAGCTAACGCTAAATGTTATAAATTTTCTTGGTCTGTGCTTCATATGATGCATTTTAAGTTAGCCAAGGAAAAAAAAAGTAAAATGAGCTTCACAGGCCGCCTGGGCCCGAGCCCTTTTTTTAGGGCTTAAAAGGGTTGGGCTTTGAAGCTCAGTCACCCCAAAAAATACAAAATTTTTAAACCCAAACTCTTATTAAAACGAGTTTAAACGAGCAGCCCGTCAAGCCCGACTTCTTCTTTATTTTTACCTTTTTTATTTTTGTATTAAGGTTGAGTTGCTCATTGCCTTGCTCACATATGATGGTGTTATTACTAATGCATCCAAACTCTCTCTTCATCTTCATTCGCACACCCACACTCTCATTCTTCACAGCATTATTTTTCCTTTGATGGATTAAATTTTATATTTATTTTATTTATTTATAAGTTCTTTAATTGTTGATATGTCATGAAGTATAGTCTAAATACACATATTTATGTTATATAAATTTTAAATTATTTTAAGAATAAATTTTTTTTTGAAATATTTTCACGGGTTAGCCAAATCTATTAAAAAATAATTTAGATTGAATTTTCTAACCCATTTTGTGAGTCAAAACGCCAACCCAAAAGCGCTTTATGGAGCCACCGAGTTGCCCAAAAAAGGTCTGACAAAAGCAAGATATAGGGTTTGAGGCTCTTCTTTTTACGTGCCTCTACCCATGTTTGCTTCTCTATTATCGAAGCGTCTTCACAAACTCATTTGAATTTGAACTGTTTATAAAGTTGAAAAGCTCTAATTAAGCTCCATAGTTTATAAACACACTATCATGTGCGCACACACTCACACTAAATAAATGAGATTTGGTATTTACTGAAATGACATATAAGCAACTATACGTTGGTAAAAAGAAAAAAAGAAAAAAAGACATATAAGTCATAGGATAGACCGATATACACTGTGAAATCCTGGACTTTAGTACCGATCAAGGTCTTTTTGTCGTGTCCGTGATTTGTGCGTGTCAGTATCAGGTATGCCGCATCAGTAATCCGGATGTTCGTGGATTGTGTTAATTCCACGAAAGTAAGTGTTAAATGTACATTTGTAGAACAGCGAGAAGAATAATGAACAAAAAGAAGAAAAGTAAACTTCATTTTGTGTCTTTTTGTAATCTGTCTAGTAACTAGTAATATACCGGTCATGGGACATTCTTCTTGTCGTTTAATTTATCGATAATAAGTTACACTCTAAGTAAATGTTAGGTTGAAATACACGTAATCACTCACAACTTAAGGTCAATTGCATGTATTTTTTATTTTTCAGTTTTAAAAATTTAAATCTCATACCCTCATGACCAAATACCTTTTCCATTAAAATGATAGTTAAATTTAACAAAATTTGTTCCACATCAACCTAATCAAGAGTATTTGTTAAATGAGATGGAATTTTGAATATTATATTATTTTCACCTTACTTAAAAACACAAATTTACTAGAAGGGTAATTTTGGGCTTGTTCGGTTTCTATTTTTTTAAAACAGATTTTTATTTTTAGAAACCAAAAAAATTTAAAACTCATTTAGATAAGCCTTTTAAATTTAAGTGTTTTCTCTTTAAAAAAAACAAATATTAAAATATCTTAAAGCTATTTTCATTTTATTTTTTTATTTTCAAAATATATTATATTTAATTATTAAAAACAACAATACCAATTATTATTACAAGCTACCACCATTAATTATTAGCGACCATTACTATTAACTAATTTTTAATTATAAAATTAATTTTCCAATTAACGCAGCTAAATATATTTTCTTTTAAAATACAGCTTTAAAAATTATATTGCAAAATATAAGTAAAAAAAAAAAAACTACATAGGCCTTAGTCATCTTACAATTCCCAATTCCCCCATTTTTTTTTTTTTGTAACATCTATAATGTATTTGCCTTGCACCTTTTGGCATCTCGATCCAGATTTCCTCTCTTTTCTGCAACATCTACTTATAAGTTGTCGTAAATTCATCCTCCTTCCAAATTTTATGTCTATGCATACCATCCTCATTATTTGTTTTTCCCCTTGAAACCTGTTAGTAATAAATTTTTTTTAAAGAAATTTCTGTTTTATGCATCAATCAATCAATCCAGGCTTTTTTTGTCATTCTCTTCTACACATGATGAACGCTCCTTTGATGGAATTAAGCAATCAACTTTTTTATTTAAAATTTTATCGTTGGATCTTACTGCTTCACCACATGAATTGCTTTCAATTTTTATTACATGATAAAATTGAATAAAAGATGAGCATGATACTGGAATATAATCAGAAGGCCAAAACCGTTTAATCAAACTGGGCACTGTGAGTATCCAAGGGAGAGGTTACATATGAGAGACATTTTGGATGAAAATGTGGTACCCATACATATAGTGCTTGTGTATGGGCTAGCTCATGGGTAGTGAGCTGACCCGTTGTGTGTTGTGAGCTTGGTGTGATGGATTGACATAAATAACTTACATTCTGCATGTGTGATATTTCTATTAACCGCCAACCCGCATTGAGTTAACAGCTAACTCACCAGTAAAAAAATATTTTTTATAATATTTTTTTAATTTTAAAATTACAAATTCACCCCTTTTCATTTTTGTTTGGATAAAAAATTATATTTTCTTCCTAAAAGCTAATCATCCAAATAATAATAAAACTCTTTTTAAATCATTAAAAAAATACAATGCAAATTTTAAAATACATTAATACAATCTAAAATAAATATATCCATCACAAACAAACAAGTAAAAAGTTAAAAGATTAAAATATATTAATACAACCTAAACCTTGAAATTTTTTTCTAATCAATCACAATGTTAGAAGTTTCATTAGAAGTTACAATAATATTAATTTGAGTATATTTTTTCTGTAACATCCTGATTTTTATATAATAAAGAAATTGTGGAATTTAGGTTTTGAGAAAAAAAAATGATAATAATAGGAATTTATATTATTTGAGGTTATTTAGAAATAATATTATGATTAGATATTTAATTATGAATTTAAAAATTTAAATTTAAAATCACATAAGCAATATTTAGTTAAGATATAATACATAAATAATTTTTTTTATGTGTGTGTTAAAAAAAAAAAGAAGGTAGAAGGAACAAAAAAAAGGGGGGGTGGAAGGTTGTTGTTTCTAAGTCCCACATTGGTTAGATGAGGGAAGAGAAGAGGTGCCTTCATGTATAAAAAGGAGGGGTTGTGTGCATTAGGAAGCATGAGAGGCTAAGATGCAATTTAGAGAAAATTGCAACTTTGAGCCCAAAGGTTTGAATAATTAAATTCAAACCTATAGTTTTTTTTTAATATAATTTTGGGACTCACAATCCCATTTTTATATTATTTTTCTCTCTTCCTCTCACGTTGCTCGGCGTTTTCTCGCAAGGGGGGATTATTTTCTTTTTTCTTCAGGTATGTTCTAACTTTCCTGTTTAGATTAGCATTTAAAAATTTATTTAATTATAAAATTAATTTTATAGTTATTTTCTAAATAATATTAGCTTTCTAGTGATATGATTATTTTGTAGGATAGAGTAAATATTTTGATTAGGATTTTTCTATAGGATAGTTAATCTGATGATATGATGGATTAAAAATATAGGTTAAAATTCTTAGGGATATAGTAAATATTATAGAATATTTTCTTAAGGTTGAAACTCATGTTTAAGAATTTTTGAGTTAAAATCTAGATCTATATGGTTGAATTTATGTGGAATCTGAGATGTAGGGATAAATCTATGATTATTAAATATTTATTTAAGTATGAATAGGTATTTTTGAGGTTATAGAAAGGTGATTTGAGGCTTCAGGATAATTCTAAAATTTTTAATTTATTTTTAGATGAATTTTTAGAATGTAGAAGGATGAAATTGCGATACTAGAAGTGAATTGAGGATAAAAAAAAATAGTTCATTAGGGTACGAGAATTTTAGAAAAGAATTTGGGAAGTTAAATAAGGCATAAATCTTAAATTAGTGTTAATATGGACTATAGATTTAAGACTTTCTAACTCTTTAAATTAGAGTTATTTATTTTAATGTAAAATTAATATATAGTATTGTGAAATAATTATGTAGATTATATTGACAAAGATAGTGGTGAAAAAGGAGTTGTGAAGGGGAACTTGTTATTCAAGACACAAGGTAACCATTATTAATGTGTTGTGATGAGTGTGTTTGTGAATGGTTATGTGTTGTTTTGTTGTTTGGAAAAATTATGAATTATTGAAAATAAATACTGTATATACTTGTTTGAAATTATTGCCAAGTGGGTTAAAAATTTATTTTTGTTTATCATGATGAGATATTATTGTTCGGATATATTCCTGTTTGGATATTTGAATGATGCATGACTAGTCAGGGTATTTTAATGTATGGTGTTAATGGGAATTTCTGTTCGGTTAATTATTACCACGTGGTAAGCCCTCATTGGACCCAATGAGTGGCGTGTCGCTTGGTCCAACTCACCTTTGGCCGGGTGATTTGGCGTCCGAGCATGGTGAAAGGAGGATATAAGGTGCAGTCATGCAATTAAATACTTGTTCGGTTTGTTTGAAAATATTGTTCGGTTAAATGTTTTGTGTGCCCACTTAGCAATCGCATGATTAGTTACATCCGCATGCATCATTACATATTAATTTTTGGTTACTGAGACTTTTAAGTCTCATTCCCCGTGGTTAATATTTTTACAGGAGCGAATCCGGCCGAGAAAGCACCAGAGGTGTAATTATGGTGTATGAGACACCATCTTTTACGTTGCCTCTTATTTTGGATTATACAATGTATCTTGTGCCAACTTAGGACATATCTTGTCTATGGAGCATGTAAACTCTAATCCTTTTTATTAAATGCATTTATATGTCCAAGAGGATTATGTCTGTCCCTTTTGATTCATGACCTAATTTAAATAACATGCTATGAGGATCATGTCTGTCCCTCATGGTTCTAATTGCTTTTTGAGATATTTTAAGACCTGTGGTATATTGTCTTGGATGTATCATGGTAGAAATTTTTCTACCATGATAAGGGTATGATAAGGGTTCAATGAAAAAAAAAAATGATTTCTTGAATTAATAACTTGCGAAAAATCGGTTTGTAAATTTGAGGGTGTTACATATTGGTATCAGAGCATATAGTCGGTTGGCAATATACATTGTTATGGTGCTTCTCATTGTATGGCCATGATATAGCTAGGCTAATTTTATTATTTATATCTTGTATCCTTTAGGAGGGGAGAGAAAATGCCTGTTACTCGTGGTAACTCAGGATTCCAACATGAGCACCTGCCACCGCCACTGCCAAATGAGGAGCCTGACTTGGCGGAATTAAGAATGCTTGTAAAAACATTAACAGACAAGGTTCAAGGATACGAACAAGAGTTGACGGAGCTAAAGAGGCAAAAGGTAACTGAAAATGGAGATAGGGCTCATGTTGAGAGTCATGTGGGGGAAGGCAGTTCCTCACATCCTGCCACTCTGAGAGATCATGAGTCTAGAAGGAAAGAAATTAGGCAGGAGGAACAGAGAGCCCCACCGACCATTACTGATGTGTGGGAAACTGTTAGGAAGTTTAACCCTCCTACGTTTGATGGTAACCTTAAACCATCCGTGGTAGAGGAATGGGTGAAGAGACTCGAATCCATCTTTCGAGTAGTCACATGCACCAGCAATCAAAAAGTACAAGTAGCATTAGTGCTCCTAGTGAAAGGAGCAAGAGATTGGTGGGAGACAGCAGGGCCCAGGGATGATTCTACACTCACCTGGGAGGAATTCAAGGAAAAATTATTTAGGCATTACTTTCCATCAGAGTTAAGGTCTGAGAAGGAAGCGGAATTCCATGCCTTTAAGCAAGGGAACCTCGATGAGGACACATTCATTGCTAAGTTTCAGGAGTTATCTAGATACTCCACGTACCTGCAGTATAGGGATGATTCCGAATGGAAGGCTAAGCGCTTATTGGAGAAGGCTAGACCAGAATTGAGGGAACAATTGGCTCATCTAGATATCCGAGATTATGATGAAATGTGCATAAAACTACAAGTAGTAGCTCGCAGTAAGAAGGAGGTTGAGAGAGAGAAGAGGGGTTATTCATATAGTAGACCCCCAACCTACCCTCGACCCACCGGAGGCATTATGAAGAAAAACCATCAGGGTTCGAGTAGCTCATGGAACCAAGGAAGGCAGAAGGGTCCATTTCAAAGGGGCCAAGGACAGAGGAGCTATCATAGTAGTTATTACGGGTCACAGAGGAGCCCAACAGTATCTACCCCTGCCCCGAGTACAGCGAGCTCTCAACAGTGCACTAAATGCGGGCGTCGTCATTTCGGACAGTGCTGGATCTGTTACATTTGTGGGAAACCCGGTCACATTGCAAAGTTTTGTGGGGACAACCAGGGCTCAAATATGAAGAACCCTTCCCAACATCCTACTGTCTCTGGTCGTGTGTTTGCTCTTACTCAGGACACCATGAACTCCCCAGATGCCATTAGAGGTAACATCAAAATCCTTCATCATGATATTGTTGCACTATTTGATTCGGGTGCTACACACTCTTTTATTTCTGAAACTTGTGTAAAGAACCTTGATTTGCCTGTGTGTATTTTACCGTTTGATATGAATGTGTCTACTCCTGCGGGAGAATCTGTGAGGACCGCTAAGGCATGCCTTAACCTAGTAGTCGAGTTTAAAAATAGGAAAACAACTATGGACTTAATTATCCTACCACTGAGAGGTATGGATGTAATTGTGGGAATGAATTGGATGGCTGCAAATGGTGCTATCCTAGATTGTAGAGAGAGGAGTGTGTCTTTATCTTCTTTGTCGGTGACCCCAGTCGAGACTCAAGATCATGTTTTCTTGTCGGCGGCGCAAGTTGATAGATGTATGAAGAAGGGTTGCCAGGCCTACATGGTTTTCTTCTCTATCCAAGCTGAGATTGATGAAGGCGTGAAGAATATCCCAATTGTCAAAGAATTTGCGGATGTATTTCCAGACGAAGTCTCCGGTTTACCCCCAAAGCGCGAGGTAGAGTTCTCAATTGAATTGGTACCCGGTACAGGGCCAATTTCTAAGGCTCCTTATCGGATGTCCCCTTCAGAGTTAGCGGAACTGAAAAGGCAAATCGAAGAGCTACTTGAGAAGGGTTTCATCAGACCGAGTGTTTCACCTTGGGGATCTCCAGTCCTTTTTGTAAAGAAGAAGGACGGAAGCCTCCGATTGTGCATTGATTATAGACAATTGAACAAAGTAACCATCAAGAACAAATATCCACTTCCGAGAATCGATGATTTGCTGGATCAGCTTGTGGGATCCGCAGTTTTCTCAAAGATTGACTTAAGGTCAGGGTACCACCAATTGAGAGTGAGAGCAGAGGATATACCTAAGACAGCATTTCGGACGAGATATGGGCATTATGAATTCATGGTGATGCCGTTTGGACTTACGAATGCTCCTGCGGTATTCATGGATTACATGAATAGGATCTTTCGACCCTATTTAGATAAGTTTGTAGTAGTGTTTATTGATGACATTCTTATTTATTCAAAGGATGAGGAGGCTCATGGTGAACATTTAAGAATCGTCTTGCAAGTTTTGAGGGAACATAAGCTTTATGCCAAATTAAGCAAGTGTGAATTTTGGCTCCAAGAAGTAAAGTTTTTGGGCCATGTTGTGTCCAGAGATGGAGTTGCGGTGGATCCTAGTAAGATTGATGCAGTGATGAAGTGGGAACAGCCAAAATCTGTTACAGAGATACGAAGCTTTTTAGGTCTAGCAGGTTATTATCGTCGCTTTATTAAGGGATTTTCGCAAATTGCGATGCCCTTAACTAAGCTAACTAAGAAGGATGCCCCATTTATTTGGACTGACAAATGTGAAGCTGCTTTCCAAGAATTGAAAAAGAGGTTAACCACTACTCCAGTATTGACTATTCCTGACCCTGTGGTGCCGTACACTCTGTACACTGATGCTTCTTTAAAGGGTTTAGGATGTGTTTTGATGCAAAATGACCGAGTGGTTGCCTATTCCTCCAGACAGTTGAGACCACACGAGGAAAATTACCCTACTCATGATTTGGAGTTAGCTGCAGTTGTGTTTGCTCTAAAGATATGGAGACACTACTTGTATGGATCTAAGTTTCAAATCTTCAGTGACCATAAGAGCCTGAAGTATTTATTTGATCAAAAAGAGCTTAATATGAGGCAGCGACGATGGATGGAATTTCTAAAGGATTATGACTTTGAATTACATTACCATCCGGGTAAGGCTAACGTGGTAGCTGATGCCTTAAGTAGAAAGACTATTCATGCTGCACATTTGATGGTTCATGAATATCATTTATGGAACAGTTTTCATGATGTTCCAGTAGATGTGATTGAACATCAAATGGCCGCACTCCAGGTAGCAGACTTTGAGAGCAAATTCTGGGAAGATCTCAGAGTCTCACAGCAAAGTGATGACTACTTAAGGAATATAAGGAAGGAGATAGTGGTAGGTAAGGCCCCAAATTTTACCATCTTTGAGGACACAGTGATGAAGTATAAAGGTAGAGTTTGTGTACCTAATGATCCAAGATTGAGGAATATCCTTTTAGAAGAAGCTCATAGGAGCAAATATACAATTCATCCCGGTATAACTAAAATGTACCATGATTTGAAGCGAGGTTGGTGGTGGCCAGGAATGAAGAAAGATGTAACTGAATTTGTTTCTAGATGTTTAACGTGTCAGAAGATAAAGATAGAACATCAGAAGCCAGCTGGAACACTGCAACCGTTAGATATTCCAAAGTGGAAATGGGATGATATTTCTATGGATTTCATCACTGGACTGCCAAGAACACCCTCGAGTAAGGATGCTATTTGGGTGATAGTAGACCGACTCACCAAATCAGCTCACTTTTTGGCGATCAAGTTTACCTCTACATTAGAGAAATTTGCTGAGATATACATTAAGGAGATAGTTAGACTTCATGGTATACCCTCTAGAATTGTGTCAGATCGTGACCCAAGGTTCACTTCAAACTTTTGGGGTGCGCTACAGAAGGCTATGGGTACCAGACTGAGTTTTAGCACCGCATACCACCCCCAAACAGATGGACAAACAGAGAGGACGATCCAGACTTTGGAGGACATGTTGAGAGCTTGTGCCATTGAACTACCAGGTAGTTGGGATAATCATTTGCCATTAGCTGAATTTGCTTATAATAACAGCTATCATTCTAGTATTGGGATGGCGCCTTATGAGGCCTTGTATGGAAGGAAGTGTAGATCGCCTTTATGTTGGACAGAATTAAGTGAGAGGAGTATCATTGGTCCAGAAATTGTAGAGCAAACCACCCAGAAGATTGCAATGATTAAGCAAAAATTGCTAACCGCTCAGAGCCGACAGAAGAGCTATGCTGATAAGAGGAGACGGCCGTTAGAGTTTGAAGTAGGAGATCATGTATTTTTGAAGGTTTCTCCAGTGACAGGCATTGGTAGATCCATTAAGGCAAAGAAATTGACACCTAGATTTATGGGCCCGTATGAGATCTTGGAGCGAATTGGATCTACTGCATATAGAGTTGCATTACCTCCACAGATTGCAGGTATCCATAATGTGTTCCACGTATCACAGTTGAAGAAGTACAACCCGGATCCCTCCCATGTTATTGAACCTGAAGAAGTAGAATTGAGGGAGAATTTGACCTTTAGATCCGAACCGGAGCGAATTGAGGACTTTAAGGACAAACAACTACGCAATAAGACCATCCGACTCGTGAAGGTGATTTGGAAGGGTGGAGCCCTAGGTGATGCTACTTGGGAGACCGAGGAGAGTATGAGGCGAGATTATCCACATTTATTTGCTTAGGTACATAGTTTCTAAGCTTATCTATTAAATTTTGAGGACAAAATTTCTAAAAGGAGGGGAGAATTGTAACATCCTGATTTTTATATAATAAAGAAATTGTGGAATTTAGGTTTTGAGAAAAAAAAATGATAATAATAGGAATTTATATTATTTGAGGTTATTTAGAAATAATATTATGATTAGGTATTTAATTATGAATTTAAAAATTTAAATTTAAAATCACATAAGCAATATTTAGTTAAGATATAATACATAAATAATTTTTTTTATGTGTGTGTTAAAAAAAAAAAAGAAGGTAGAAGGAACAAAAAAAAGGGGGGGTGGAAGGTTGTTGTTTCTAAGTCCCACATTGGTTAGATGAGGGAAGAGAAGAGGTGCCTTCATGTATAAAAAGGAGGGGGTGTGTGCATTAGGAAGCATGAGAGGCTAAGATGCAATTTAGAGAAAATTGCAACTTTGGGCCCAAAGGTTTGAATAATTAAATTCAAACCTATAGTTTTTTTTTAATATAATTTTGGGACTCACAATCCCATTTTTATATTATTTTTCTCTCTTCCTCTCACGTTGCTCGGCGTTTTCTCGCAAGGGGGGATTATTTTCTTTTTTCTTCAGGTATGTTCTAACTTTCCTGTTTAGATTAGCATTTAAAAATTTATTTAATTACAAAATTAATTTTATAGTTATTTTCTAAATAATATTAGCTTTCTAGTGATATGATTATTTTGTAGGATAGAGTAAATATTTTGATTAGGATTTTTCTATAGGATAGTTAATCTGATGATATGATGGATTAAAAATATAGGTTAAAATTCTTAGGGATATAGTAAATATTATAGAATATTTTCTTAAGGTTGAAACTCATGTTTAAGAATTTTTGAGTTAAAATCTAGATCTATATGGTTGAATTTATGTGGAATCTGAGATGTAGGGATAAATCTATGATTATTAAATATTTATTTAAGTATGAATAGGTATTTTTGAGGTTATAGAAAGGTGATTTGAGGCTTCAGGATAATTCTAAAATTTTTAATTTATTTTTAGATGAATTTTTAGAATGTAGAAGGATGAAATTGCGATACTAGAAGTGAATTGAGGATAAAAAAAAATAGTTCATTAGGGTACGAGAATTTTAGAAAAGAATTTGGGAAGTTAAATAAGGCATAAATCTTAAATTAGTGTTAATATGGACTATAGATTTAAGACTTTCTAACTCTTTAAATTAGAGTTATTTATTTTAATGTAAAATTAATATATAGTATTGTGAAATAATTATGTAGATTATATTGACAAAGATAGTGGTGAAAAAGGAGTTGTGAAGGGGAACTTGTTATTCAAGACACAAGGTAACCATTATTAATGTGTTGTGATGAGTGTGTTTGTGAATGGTTATGTGTTGTTTTGTTGTTTGGAAAAATTATGAATTATTGAAAATAAATACTGTATATACTTGTTTGAAATTATTGCCAAGTGGGTTAAAAATTTATTTTTGTTTATCATGATGAGATATTATTGTTCGGATATATTCCTGTTTGGATATTTGAATGATGCATGACTTGTCAGGGTATTTTAATGTATGGTGTTAATGGGAATTTCTGTTCGGTTAATTATTACCACGTGGTAAGCCCTCATTGGACCCAATGAGTGGCGTGTCGCTTGGTCCAACTCACCTTTGGCCGGGTGATTTGGCGTCCGAGCATGGTGAAAGGAGGATATAAGGTGCAGTCATGCAATTAAATACTTGTTCGGTTTGTTTGAAAATATTGTTCGGTTAAATGTTTTGTGTGCCCACTTAGCAATCGCATGATTAGTTACATCCGCATGCATCATTACATATTAATTTTTGGTTACTGAGACTTTTAAGTCTCATTCCCCGTGGTTAATATTTTTACAGGAGCGAATCCGGCCGAGAAAGCACCAGAGGTGTAATTATGGTGTATGAGACACCATCTTTTACGTTGCCTCTTATTTTGGATTATACAATGTATCTTGTGCCAACTTAGGACATATCTTGTCTATGGAGCATGTAAACTCTAATCCTTTTTATTAAATGCATTTATATGTCCAAGAGGATTATGTCTGTCCCTTTTGATTCATGACCTAATTTAAATAACATGCTATGAGGATCATGTCTGTCCCTCATGGTTCTAATTGCTTTTTGAGATATTTTAAGACCTGTGGTATATTGTCTTGGATGTATCATGGTAGAAATTTTTCTACCATGATAAGGGTATGATAAGGGTTCAATGAAAAAAAAAAATGATTTCTTGAATTAATAACTTGCGAAAAATCGGTTTGTAAATTTGAGGGTGTTACATTTTCAAAGCTTCATTTGCCACAAACAAAAAAATAAAACATAATAAAACTTGAAAATAAAATTAATATTTAGAAGTGTAGCAGATAAATGAGAAAATATTAATATTATACCACAAAGCCATGGAGAACCAAAAATTCAATTCTGAATACAAATAAGAGCTTCAATATTATAAAAAAAATGTTACTTTAATACTTTGTGAGAACTCAAAATAAGTTCTATAAATAAAACACGGTACAAAAGGTACAAAATCAAGGACTTACTACATTTTACGATCCACCGTACCTATATTATATGAGAGGATTGATGGTAAAAAGCTCCAAAATATAGAGGAGATTTTGAAGGAAGAATATGACCTCTTGAGAAATTATAGAAAACATTAAAACATAGAGGAGAAAAAGAAGCGATGTTGCAAAAGGAAGCTGTGTGCTTTGAGTTTAAATAAATTGATGAAAGGAAAAATCTCATTTAGGGCTTCGTAGCACAAAATTTTGCATTTATAGCCCAGTATAATATAAAATCTCTCCACATGTCAAAGAGTTTTAAGTAAAAATATGTTTTAATGAGAAAGGACACATTTGTCCATAGATATTTTGCAGTCAATTGCATGACATTGTGTTGAGAATTTATAAATATTGTATTATGTATTTATGGACATAATATATTATAGGATATTGTGTTCTATATTTATGAACATCTATTGTTCTTTTATCCCGTGCAATTTGTAAATTTTAGGCTTAATCATTTCTACTAAACCAACTCTACATTACAAGATATTGTATTAAGAATTTATATATATTATGTTGTGCATTCATAAAGAGAGGGGGGCAAATGCATCTTATTTCTATCAAATATATTTTTATTGAAGGCTCTTGAGCTTGCAGAGAATTTTTAATTTGTAATGAATTCTAATTGAAAATTTTCATGCTTCAAGGCCTTAAATGAGATTCTCCCCTGATGAAATCTCAAAATTCCATCTTATTTATCAAGGACTCTTGATTAGACTGATTTGGCATAAATTTTATTAACTTTAATTATCATTTTAACCATTAGAGATTTATGGTCAAAATCTATAAGATAAAGGGTTTGAGATTTAAACTTTTAAAGATAAAAAAGATTACGTGCAATTGATCTTAATTTGAGAGGTTACATACATTTTAGCCTAAATTTTATGAAAAATATAATCTAATTATTCAATGTTTTCATATTACATGTAAACGATAAAAGTGCCTTATTGTATATAATTTGAAGTTTGACCCTATCTATTATTTACAGTTATATCAAATAATAGTATAACACAAAATTTACCTTCTTTCCATATTGAAAGCTATTAGCTTTAATCAGATAAAAGCCTTCATTCCACCGTTCGTATCTGAGACAACCATTAGTTTGATAGCGAGCTTTTAAATCATCAAAATGATTGAACACAACATTACATAAACCTAATAATTCATTGATTATTAATATTTGTAAGTAGCAAAATCAGTACTGCGCCAACTTTCAATTGTATTTTATATTTAGAAGACCACCTGGAGGTGTCATTTAAAAATATTCAACAGAATCGAGGTCATCCATAATCACGTTATATCTTGTTTGCACACAAATAGCCGTTTAGTGAGGAAGAAGTGGTCATACCTTGTGTTACTTTTCACCTAGGGACATACATAGACAACAAATTGTTAACTCTTTATTTATTAAAGCTTATCATACAGGCAATATAAGACATGGGATGAAATGAATATTATATATTATTCAGGTAATTAAAAACATGGTATATTCATCTTTGTGGATTAAAAAAAAAAACTGTTTATTGTAGGAATTATATTCTATATGATGTTATCATGCAAAAATCATAATTGTTTCATCAATCATGCAAGTGCAAATGTGATCCTATACTTTGGTTATTTGTTGATCGGTCACGGTTTATCATATATGTAAATATTAATTACAAATTATTCTTAAATTTCAGGATTTTTATTGAAAGCTGTTGATTGAATTTGGCAAAGTAGATTTATCAGAATTAGTAGTGATATATTAAGAAAAGTATTACCTCTCTTACATATCATAAGGCATGTTTTAAAAAAATTATAGTCTTTGATGTCATATTTTACAGAATATTGCAGCAACTAACGTATTTAGTCCAAAAATCCAACTGAAAAATAAAATTATAATGAAAATTACTGATAAATTCTTCGATGTACCTGGTACACCACTTAATTCATGGTCCATCTAATAAAAATATGATATTTAGATAACATTAAATATAAATTAATTTTTACATTAATAATAATAGAGAGAAAATGCCATAAATTAAATGGGCTTTCTGTTATAAAAATAAATTTATTTAAAATAATCATACATAAATTTTTATTTTATTGAATTGGTATAATTTTATTAGATGAATCACAGAAGATGTGGTGCATCGAGTTCATTTAAGAATTTCTCAAAAATTTGTGACATGGTTAAAGATATACAATGTTGGTTGAAAGAATGTTTTTGAGAGAATGGAAATAAGAATGTGAATGTTAATGAGAATGAGGGTATGAATAGAATATGAATAAGGTTTGATGGAATAAAATAAGAACATTTGGTATGTCATAGAAAATAATAAGTATTTAATTTAAGTTGGAATAAATAACATGTAAAGACATGATTTATTAGAATACTTTCCCCCTAATTTTTTAGATGCACTTTTAATGGACTATGTATGAATACATATTATCTTCAATGTTTGATCATTAGACTAAATATTGAACCGATTAAAACAATAGTTCAATAATAATATCATTCATTCCTACTGTTATCATTTCTTTAGTTATATTCTTGCTATCAGTTTACACGGAGAGAAACGGTCACATGTGAATTGAGAGGAAGAAAGATAATCACTCGTATATACCACAACCCATTGCTTGAGAATAATGCAAAAAATAAAAAAATATCACAAAATAATTACAAAAAAAAATTATTATGCCCATTACAAATTATTTAACAGATAAAAGGTCACTCTCTCAAGCAGCCTCTTGGTGTGGAGAACAAAAGTCATAAGAATCCATGACCTCAAAAGCAAGAGATATTAGTTCATTTGATAAAAGGAAACCTTGTGGGTCACTCAACCGTAGACAAGCCACCTTTTTTTCCTTCTTATTCTCACGGAACAAACAAGTGCTAAGGTCTTCTTCTCCAATGACTCTTCTATTCTCATCCAAGCAGATGACGTGTCCACTCTCAACATAAGGTCTATAAGTCTCCAAAATAGACAACACAAGGGAGCCACCAAATGATTCTTCAAAACTCTTTAAGTCTAAACCCAATGAAGTTCTCAGGGACAGCATCACAACATCCATGGCCGTGTCCTTGACATGAATCTGATCACTGCAAGAGCAATTTAACAGTCCATTTTCTAGATCCTGCACGAATGTCACGTACTTATTGACTTTCTTTGGTCTTGAAAACCTTAATCCACCTACGAAACTTGCAGAGCCGAGACCGAATCCATAGAAAGGTTTGTTCTTCCAATAGGTATAATTGTGTTTGCACTCATATCCACTCTTGCAATAACTGCTGATTTCATAGTGGTTGTAATTTGCATCAGAAAGCATTCTTGAAGCCATTTTATAGAACTCTGCTGATTGAGTCTCAGAAGGAAGGGGAAATTCCCCTGGAGTATACCTGCAAGCATTTTAATCTTCATTTTCATATTAGCTATAACTAATAGTTCCATCTTTGAATTATTTAACCCATTCAGTTGTATCAAAAAAATTAGTAAACACACAAGTTAGCCTTTAAAATAGTAAACATGTTATAAATTAGTTCATGAAGTCACAATTTGGCTTGAATTATGTTTGACTCGTTTCGTTTTACTTTCCCAAAATTACTAAGTCGACGAATTAATATCTAAAAACAATAAACTTGTTTGTTGTAGTGTATACTAGTTCTTCTATCAAGCAACCCAAAAATGCGAAAAGGACTCACTTGTAAGTAGTAACAAACTCAACGTTGTTTCTTCAAAAAACAAATTCAATATTTTCAAAAATCAACTTGTGCATTCGTTAATTTTGAACTCAGACACTTTGAGAATTGAGAATCAAATTGTTAGTTTATTCTAGTTCTTTCGCCATATAACACAGATTCTAAAAGGACTAACTCTTGCTTAGTTTATTATTGCTAGAGCCTAATTCATGCATTCACTAATTTTGAGGTACTAAACTATTACTACTGCTTGTGAGAATAATAATACTCACAGATTTCCAAATTTAGAATTGTGGCTTTAACCCATTCAGTTGTAGATCCAAAAAATTAGTAAACACACAATTTAGTCTTTAAAATAGTAAACATGTTATACGACAGTTCATAAAGTCACAACTTGGCTTATGAGAATAATACTTACAGTGTTCCAAATTTGGTGCCCTGTTCAATTTGCAAATCATATACTGAAGCGTGAGTGGGCTGTGCCTCAATAGCAAGCCTCAGAGTCTCCTCCCACATATCAGTTGTCTGATGAGGCAGTGAAGATATAAGATCAATACTCCAATTCTCAACCCCACATGACTTGACAGTGTCAATAGATTCATAAACCTCTTCCAACCCATGTGCCCTTCCACAAGCTCTCAACAACTTCTCTTGAAATGCTTGAACTCCCAATGATACTCTATTCACTCCTAACGCCATCATCTCTTCCATCTTCCTAGCATCAAATGTCCCAGGATCCATTTCCATTGAAATCTCAGCATCCTCACACACACCAAATTTCCCACCCAACGCTTCCAAGACCAACGAAACCATCCGTGCTGGCACGAGAGACGGTGTCCCTCCGCCGAAAAACACAGTCTCTAGAGGCGTTTTAGCATCAATGTCCACCTTCATTGCATTGATTTCTCTGCAGAGCAGTTGTATGTAGTTACTCACTCCTGGGTCATCGTCGATTTGGGTTGAAGCAGAGCCGAGAGCAACAATTGGGAAGTCACAATAGTGGCAACGCTTGCGGCAGAAAGGGAGGTGAATATAAGCAGAAGTAGGGGGAGCTAGGTGAGGAGCGATATCGATTGCGTATTTCGTAGGGACATTTTGTCGAACATGTGGTGTGCTTCTGGCAAGTGTGTTGGTGATTGCATGGTGGGGTATCAGTTTGGGAGATTTGGGGATGGGGAAAAGCTCCCAGAAAATGGGATTGAAGGTAGATTTGAACATGTTGGCTCTAGAATAACGAAGGTAGTTAAAGTTCATGTGCGAGAAAATCGAAGGGACTCATATCGCCCATAAGACCAATGTATACGCGCGTGTGAACATGGAGGACGAGGTCGTTAACCCGTCATGCATTTTATGTCCTAGACCCAGCTCTGAAACTATGTCGTTTTCCATTGAGATTTTAGATTTTAATATCTATTTTCATTTTGCATGCCATTAATGTCACACCTATCTCAACTCATATTTTATTATTAATTAATGAGAAAAATTATAAATAATTCAATCCAGTATTTACAGTTAAATATTTTAAAATATCAATGTGTTTATCCATGTGGAGAGGGTTATATATATTTTTAGATCAATTATTCATTATTCATAAGTCAAGTGAGGTTGAATCATATTAATGACGAAGTTTTCTCAACCAATATTTTATGTAACTATATATCCAAGACTTGAATTTGAAATTATTGATTAAGTGAGCATAACCCTATGTCAGTTTACATTCGTGCTCATTGGTAAAGAGGGTTATACATACTGTGTCCTTTAATTTTGATTTGAGTTGAATTATCTATATATTTTGAAAAAAAATCAAATAATTATGAACGATTAAGGGCTGTTTGTTTCTTGTTTTAAAAACTATTTTTTATTTTTGAAATTTTTTTGAATAATTTTTTATTTAGTTGTTTTCAAAACTATTTTTATTTCTTATCTTTAAAAACAAAAAAATAGAAACAACTGTAAGTTGTTTTTATTTTATTTAATTTTTTTTAAAATACATTACATTTAATTATTAAAAATTATAATTATCTTAACTAATTTTTATTATTAATCACTGTCATTAACTGTTTATAATCATTACTATCAATTTATTTTTTAATTAATATAATCAAACAGATTTTTATTTTAAAACAAGTTTGAAAACTGTATTACAAAGTAGCTTTTAAAAATAAAAAATAATAACAGAAACCAAATAAACCCTAAGTATTAGTGCTATTATGGCTAGGTCACATTAAGAACTGCAGTACTTTCATAATTAATTATGATTTTCCGCTAATGCATTTTTCTAATATAGTTTCTAAACTCTGAACGAGAAGAGGACCTTTAAAATAATTGAAGTAAATTGCATTATTGAAATTGGAACTAAAAAATAAGTCACACCGTTCATATAAAGATTTTATATTATATATTAAATTGATTGATATATCAATATTGATTATTAAAGGAATGGAACAAAAATAGATAAACAACAATAATTTTTTGGGGAAAAATAGCAGTAAATTTCATTTTAATTATTTTTAAGTATATTGTTTGGCATTTTTAATAAATAATTTATGTACTATTTTATGCATATCATGAAAAAAACCTTTTAACGTAATGAATAAAATTTGCATCTGTGTCTAATATTGCGCTGAGGATACTCCCACTTGCCTTTATAACATGAAAAACCAAGTTGACATATCCTTCCTTTAACATAATTTCAGTCAAAGCTCTTAGTATTTTAAAATTTTACTGTACATATAGAATATTGAAATGAAATTAAAAAGTTGATTAAAATAATTTTATTGTCAATGATAAAACTAAATATATAAACAACTTGTGTAGAAAAAATAAATATTGATGTGTAAAGAAAATAAATAATGATGTGTTAAAAATGAATAACTCATATAAGCAGAATTTACAACCGTCATTAATAATATAACACTGTTATGAATTTATAATTTTTGTTCCACCTACATTTATTGTTCATTTTTTATATATTAATTATTTAATTTTTTTACATAAATCGTTCATACACATTTAATTATTTATAGTAATATTATCTTGTTAATAAAATTACAAATTCTATCCATATTAATGGTTCGTTTTTCATATATTATTTATTCATTTTTTATATATTATTTATTTATTTATTTTGAATGATAAGATTATTTCAGTCAAATTTTTAATTTTATTTTAATTTTTATATGTGTAATGAAATTTTAAAATTTTAAAAGTTTTTATTGTAATTAAATTGGATCAAAAGTTCTTGCTCAAATTTTCTCAATCATGATTCGATTGCAGACCGCAGGTTGTGATTGTGAAGGAACGAAGAAACCCAAAAAAAAAAAAAAAAAAAAGGCCGGCGACTTATTCAGGAGAAATAAAAAAGAATAACAATAATTTTTAAAAAAAAAATCAGCCAAAGCGAATTACGAAGGTGCATTTCGCAGCTGCTCGTTCACCGAGCCAAGGAATGCTCAGAAGCGTACCACAGTGAACAAAGAACAAAGCGGCCATGGAAGCAGAAGAGGGGACTCAGCAGCCACAGCTGGTGCTAGCCCACAAGCTCTTCCTTCTCAGACATGGTGATGTCCTAGACATTGAGAAGGTCCGGCTTAAAGATGAGGTGTTTACGTATGTCAAAGAAAATGGTAACTCCGCAGCCTCTTAATTCTCCTTATTATTCACTCCAATTTCAACTCTTCATTGTTCTCTTGCCGTCTCACTAAAATATCCTTTTTTTGTTATGGGAAGATATGGTCCCTTTATACGAAACCCTAGTCGCTGATTCAGTTTTGGACATGGACCAAAGCGTTTTGGATCTGATGCGTGCTAAGATAGATGAGGAGCTAAAGAAGCTTGACGAAAAGTGAGTTAATTTCTTTTTAATGACTGAATTTTGATGATATATTAACAGAAAATAGAAATAATCCTATTAGGCGTTTTGATCAGAGCTTTAGGTTATTGAATTTCATACATCCTGAAGTTTGAGATTTAAAAGCCATTAAGTTTTTTGGCCCGGCGCCTTCTGTGAGATTAAGTGGGATTGACATCTGGCACTTGTGTTTACATTACCCACAGCAGCCCTGGTGGAATTCTTGCTGTTTTAAATGGTTGCATATTTCAAGTACTGTACAGTTGCATCATTTCAAGTTTGCTACTTTTTCTTAAAGGCGCAAAAATGTCTGGAGTATTTGTGGAAATGTAGGGATCAAACTTGGATGTTTCTGCCACTGGCTGGTGCTTTATCCTAATGTGATGTCGACGATTCTTAATATCTTTCATTATTATGCCAACCACACTTAAATCAAATGTAAGATATGCGTGGTCGCTACCATACAGAATCCTGACTAGCATATGATACAAAGCTAACAAGTTAGGGGGAAAGGTGTATGTTAAAGTAAGCCGTGTAAGATCAAATGCATGGAGAGGGTTAGATTGCTTTCTTTTTTTTTTTATTTATCTATTGACGCTATTGCCATTGTGAAGGGAGAAAAGTTGATTGCAATGCATGCACATCTTTGTATGTGGGAGAAGTGCTACTTATTACTACAAGTTTTTTTTTTTTATGTTCTAGTTTTAGAGCCTCAGATCTACTAATTGCTTATTCTATGAGCAATCTACACGGTATTGAATGAAAGCAAAGGAGATTTATGTCATTTAGGATGCTAATACATCCATGGCAACAGCATACCATCTCATTCAAGTTTATTTTCCAACTAACTATTTTATTGAGATTCACTTTTTAAATTATTAAATTTCATTTGTAGCTTTTTTCGTTCTTGAATATTTATATTCAGTGCCATGGCTAAGCCCCTAGCTGATTCTTGTTCTGTTGTTAATTTGTTATTACTTCTTCTATTTTCAACTGAAGCTTATTATTACTTTTTGTTACATGATAATAGGTTTTTATCATGATCGTCAGTATTATGGTTGGTAGTATATTGGGATGGTGTAGGGCTGAATTTTTTTGAAATAATGAGATATTTAATCTCGCACCAAAATTTTTAGAGCTTAATATAATAGGCTTAAATATTGCCATTCTTTCCTTATGTGGTTTATTAAGAAAGAAAATAGCCAAATGAAAAGTGGAAATAAAATGCCTCGCTCTTCATGGTGTTTGAATCTGTGAATTCTTTTCCGCCTACTTAAGAGTCTCTAGAATCATCCCTATGCTCATTCATATGGTCTATGTGATTGGAATTTCTCTAATGTCATGTTAAAGCTAAAGTTATTCTTGCTCCTTTTAAGTGCTTATATTGAATAGAATATAAAAATGATGGGTTTAATGATATGGTGGTTGCATCTGACCTTGGGACTGATTTGGGTTATATAAGACTATAAGCAATGATGCATTTGGCTTATCGGTCTGTAACAATAATGACCTGCCCAAAAATTTGGAGATTGAACTTACTGTAATAAAGTAAAAAAAAAAATGACAACACTATAAAAGGATTGTTGCTTCAACTGACCACGAGAACAATAATATACAGGAATGAACAGTGCCAATATCTTCCTATTATACATACATACATACATACATATATATATTATTGAATAGAGTAGAAAAAAGTAAATAAATAAGTATTGTTTCTCGACATTATAGATGGACGGGACATGAGAAAGAGTAATGAATAGTAAAAAATAGATTATATATTTATATTGTGGAACTTTCTTTCTTAGTCATATCAAGGAAATATCTTGAGATTATAATTCATGCCTATTTATTTTTCTAATTTAAGACGGAATAAATCAATTTTGTATTCTTTCCTTCCATCCCCAACTTAAAATTTGGCTTTTTGAAAATTAGACCGTGGTTGTACCTGTTGTCTAGTAGAAATTCATAATCGCACATCTAGGTTGATGCCTGATAGCCTTTTATAGTGTATACTCTATATCTATAGAGCTTCTTCATCCAAGTAAAGAGGTGCAAACTCACCACTGGGCCAGATGGATCATACATTCATAATTACTGCATTCTCTTTGTTTGACTGTTATGTGGAAAGTTTCAAATTTAGCAGTACTCGTACTTATGATATTCTGTATGGTTGCTTAATATTAGAATTGCCGATGCTGAAGAAAACTTAGGTGAGAGTGAAGTTCGAGAGGCTCACCTGGCAAAATCCTTGTTCTTTATCAAGATCGGTGACAAGGTATATGCCTATGATAACTTACAGCTTCATTCCAGACGGATGGTGCTGTAATGAATTTTTTCACAGTATTTCTCTATATAAACCAGGAGAAAGCCTTGGAACATCTCAAGTTAACAGAGGGCAAGACAGTTGCAGTTGGCCAGAAGATGGACCTGGTGTTTCATACATTGCAGCTAGGGTTTTTTGACATGGATTTTGATCTC